GGACAGTTCCTCAGATAAGTTACCTAAAAAAAGGGCTAAGAATGTCTTTTCACATCTTATGCAGTGAAGGTTGATAAAATAATATTTTACTTCTCCACAACAGCCTTATTTTCCTGGCTTGCCCCTTTAGCATCTCTATCATCCAGTAGTCCCAGTGATTGGCAGGCTGATGCATTTACAGGCAGTCCCCGAGTTACGCGGATCCAACTTATGTCGGATCCGCAGTTACGAACGGGGTTTGCTGCCTGTCTCCCTGGTCTGCTGGGGGGGGCGTGCAGCTAGTGCCCCCCCTCCCAGCAGCACCCCAGCTGCTCTGCCCCAGGCGTCCTGATTCAGCCGCTGCTGAAACTGACCAGTGGCTGACTACAGGAAGCCCGAGGCAGAGTTGCTCTGCCCCAGGCGTCCTGATTCAGCCGCTGCTGAAACTGACCAGTGGCTGACTACAGGAAGCCCGAGGCAGAGTTGCTCTGCCCCAGGCGTCCTGATTCAGCCGCTGCTGAAACTGACCAGTGGCTGACTACAGGAAGCCCGAGGCAGAGTTGCTCTGCCCCAGGCGTCCTGATTCAGCCGCTGCTGAAACTGACCAGTGGCTGACTACAGGAAGCCCGAGGCAGAGTTGCTCTGCCCCAGGCGTCCTGATTCAGCCGCTGCTGAAACTGACCAGTGGCTGACTACAGGAAGCCCGAGGCAGAGTTGCTCTGCCCCAGGCGTCCTGATTCAGCCGCTGCTGAAACTGACCAGTGGCTGACTACAGGAAGCCCGAGGCAGAGTTGCTCTGCCCCAGGCGTCCTGATTCAGCCGCTGCTGAAACTGACCAGTGGCTGACTACAGGAAGCCCGAGGCAGAGTTGCTCTGCCCCAGGCGTCCTGATTCAGCCGCTGCTGAAACTGACCAGTGGCTGACTACAGGAAGCCCGAGGCAGAGTTGCTCTGCCCCAGGCGTCCTGATTCAGCCGCTGCTGAAACTGACCAGTGGCTGACTACAGGAAGCCCGAGGCAGAGTTGCTCTGCCCCAGGCGTCCTGATTCAGCCGCTGCTGAAACTGACCAGTGGCTGACTACAGGAAGCCCGAGGCAGAGTTGCTCTGCCCCAGGCGTCCTGATTCAGCCGCTGCTGAAACTGACCAGTGGCTGACTACAGGAAGCCCGAGGCAGAGTTGCTCTGCCCCAGGCTTCCTGGAATCAGCCGCTGATCAGTTTCAGCAGCAGCTGACGCCAGTTCCGACTTACATACAGATTCAACTTAAGAACAAACCTACAGTCCCTATCTTGTACGTAACCCAGGGACTGCCTGTAGTTTGTTTTTTTTATTAGTTTATTTTTGCTTGTTCTTCCAATTCTTGTTTGATCTGGCTAATTATGCTTTTACATTTGAGTTGCCAGAATTTATGCTCCTTTCTCTTCAATCACCTCTTACTCTGTTTGACATTAGTGGCATCTTTATTGGTCCTCTTACTTTCTTTAAAAATTGGGGCTCAAAATAGAGTTTGACCCTCTATTACAATATTTTAAAAAGGTTTCTATGCAGCTTGTAGCCTTTTCACTCTTTGACTGATCCTTTTTACTTCTGTTGAACTATCCTCTTTGTTATTGTGTACTTCCCATTTTTGAACTTAAATGCTACTGCTAGAAGGATCTTAATCTCTTGGTCCAGATACTGTACTCCACATACGAATAAATAAAAAATGGTCTCTCCCTTGTTGGTTCCAGGACCAGCTGTTCCACCAGTAGTCATTAATGGCAGCTTTACATTTTATCTCTGCATCCATTCATGAATAATCATTTCAATATGCAGATAGCTGCAAATCCATCATTACAAAAACAGAAAATCCAGTAATCTTTTTAATCTCTCTGACCATTTCTCAATCACCATCCCCATCCTGGTCAGGTGGCTAAAAGAATATTCCTACTACTATACTCTTATTCATGCATGGAATTTCTATCCATAGAAATTCTGTGGTAATGTCTGAGTCATTTAGGATTTTAACTCACATTTGATTCTACACTTTTCCACATATAGTAACATCACCCACCATCTCAGTGAGGGGCTAGGTCAGTGAGGGGTTTTGTTTGTTTGTTTTGTTGATTCTCACTTGTGTGTGGCCCCAGACTGATCTTTCTGTGGGTCAGTGGACCCCAACCCCACTCCTGCCCTAAACCTTACATATTAAGTAAATAAATAAACCTAAACCAAGCTAACTGGTACTGCTATATGCAATGATGGCAACACAATTTTATCTTCATTCTAGATACATTCCTCAAAAAGTTAATTTTTCAGATAATATAAGCCATTACTGAATATGATAAAATGGTTAGAGGAAATGAAACTAGCCAACTTTCATCCGCTATAGCTTTTTAATACATCTTTAGACTTTTTAGTCACTCCCTACAGTCTTCTAACTCATTGCATGCATACGCTGACTGACCCATGCCAGATCCTTTCCAAGACCACTTGGGGTAAGGGAAGTGCAACTCTTGTCACCTCTGACTGATGTTCAGATTGTTACTGTCACTCCTGACTCACCCATCAGAAGTCAGAGTCAGATTCCTTCCCTAGACTAGAAAGTCCCGTCTCAATATTCTTCATAGCTAAGTTTATTTTTATGTAAGCTATACATTGTTTGCTTCATTATCTTTCCAGGTCTGATATTAAGATGAGTGGTCTATAATTTCCCAGGTCATAATGCTAGATCTCCAGTTTTTTGCCAAAAAGTTTAGTAGCAAACAAAAATGTCACTTTTCACATCTGCCATTTCCATATTTTCTGTTATTGTCTATTCCGGCTCATTAAAGGGCCCATCCTGTCCTTAGTTTTCCTCTTGCTTCTAATGTATTTGTAGAATGTTTTCTTATGATCCTTTTTGCCTCTAGCTAATTTAATTTTGTGTCTATGGACTTATGTTGTTTGTACATAGTTCTCATTTAGCCAAGTTACACTTATTTTAAAGCTTTTCTCAAGCCAGCTCACATACCCACCGAATAATTTCCACTGCTTTCCTGTGAACTCCCTCCAATTTATCAATGTTTTGTGAAGTGGGCTGCTAAGAACTGAAACTACTGCAAAACAAGGATGTTCTAGAGCTGCATCACAAAATTTTTCAAGACTTTTTTTGCTCTCTTATTGCCCTGCAAACATGCCTCCTTTAATGCCCCGAGTTGCTGGATCCTGTGACAGATCCCACCCATGCTTTATGAAATTGACTTATGGACACAAATATGCATAACTTGAAGATGCTTTGGAAAAATCTCATGTAACCTATCAATCTATGTGCTGGATCTGTATATCTTATTTTGGTGCACGTATAATTCTTGTGTATAAAGTTAGATATATGGAGTATGGAATGCTTTATGGTTTTAAATGAGTGAAAGAAAGCCATCAGGGGTGCTTCCCTCAATTTCTGGGTCATCGCATGTAGACCTTCAAATCTTAGCAGTGGTTGGTCCTAGGAAGTCATGTGATCCCCCCCTCCAAACTGGTAGGTTCTGACCAGATCCACCCTTGCATGTAAGGGTGGAATGTAGAAATAGAATTCCTGCCCAAAGTGAAAATCTGTAAAACAATGAGAAGCTAGCAGTTTCTTTGTCTTTTGCTGGCATGGCACTCCCCCCAAAAATGAACCAGACGCTTCAAGGAGTGGGAACTGGTTTGAAGGCTTAGCTGGAATAAGAACAGTTTCAGGGTGAGTTTATAAGTTTATACTGAGGTTTTAGTTTAAAGAATTAGATAAGCATTTTCTGTTATTTTACATTTGTAATCTACTTTGCTCTGCCTGTTTTCACTTACAATCTCTTAAATCCTACTGCTTATACTTAATAAAAATAACGTAATAATGTAAATAATTGTTACCTGGGGGAGCAATCAGTGTGTGCATTTTCCTTTCATTGTTAAAGGGGGCTTACCTAAGTAATTCATTTGGGGAGTGATATCCCTGGAAGCTGGGTCCAAAGCTGCATTTTCCTTGGACCTGAAGAATTTCAGTGTTTGTACTGCTCCTTGGGATGTGTGTGAGGGGAACAGTGATCTCAGCTCTGCGCCTTGGCTGGGGAAGACCAGATGAGCTGGCCCAGCAGGAGAGGATAGTGAGAAGCCCCAGAGAGCAAGAAGCTGAGTGTAAATGGCTTAGTCAGCACACCAGGAAACACCCCCAACGGGTCTTCTGTGACCGCTCTCGGTCACAAATCCTTTCAGCGTTACTGCGTTCAAAATATATCCCATATTTTGAGTTTGTTTTAGGTTATTTTTTTCCACCCATGTTTGCAGGCATTTAAAAAAATGTTGTGGTGGCTCCTAGTTCTAAGTACATCTTTTTTGAATGTTTAAGAAACAGTGCATGGTAGAAACAGCATTTTCTTCTTCCACTTTCATTATGAAAAACAAACCAACCAAGTACAGGCAGTCCCCGGGTTACGTACAAGATAGGGACTGTAAGTTTGTTCTTAAGTTGAATTTGTATGTAAGTCGGAACTGGTACATATTGTAGGGGAAACTCTAGCCAAACATTTCTCCAGAGCTCAGTTTTATTCTCCCACACCTCACTTCCCTCAGTCCTTTATTCTCGAGCTGAGGTGTCTGCTGAGAAAAGCTGCTCCGCGTCTCCCTGGTCTGCTGTAGGGGGGCGCTAGCTTCGCGTCTCCCTGGTCTGCTGGGGGGAAGCAGCTAGTGCAGGTTTGCCTCACCCCGTTTGTAAGTAGGGATCCGATGTAAGTCGGATCCATGTAACCCGGGGACTGCCTGTATGCTGAAAAACTCAGTTTTCAAATATTTTGTATGGAGGATTTACTCCAATTTTAGTGTTTTTTTTTTATAGAAGTCCTCTCAGCTTATGAATTTCAAAAGGACACTAAATTTTTTCTATCAAGAAAACTATGCTATGATATATATTTGAACCATCAGTCACTACTATGTACTGTAATGCTAACTACTTAACTCTAAAGATTAAATATCTCATCCATCTATTGTCAATATGTGCCTCAAACTTGAATGGTACCTTTAGTTGCTCACCTCATGCTCCGGTGAGAGATGTTCCATGTCAGTTCGTAAGCACCTGAGTCCGGGCAAAAAGTGATTGAAAATTAAATCCTCTGAACCATCAGTCACTACTATGTACTGTAATGCTAACTACTTAACTCTAAAGATTAAATATCTCATCCATCTATTGTCAATATGTGCCTCAAACTTGAATGGTACCTTTAGTTGCTCACCTCATGCTCCGGTGAGAGATGTTCCATGTCAGTTCGTAAGCACCTGAGTCCGGGCAAAAAGTGATTGAAAATTAAATCCTCT